GGGAAGTGACAAGGTAGCAGAAAGAACCCAGAGAAAATAGAGCAATCCTAAATGTATGCCTGGACCATTCCTAGGGCTAGCCTTTCCCTAGAAGAGCATCTTCTGTCACTCATCCTGCTTAAGATTTGTCTGAGAGTAAGGAAGATCCCCTGGAGAAGGAAATGGCAGTCCTCTCCAGTATTCTTGCCTGGGAGATCCCATGGACAGAGGAACCTGGCGGGCTATAGTCCTTGGGGTCGCAGAGTCGGACACGACTTCACAACTAAACAGCAGCAGCAAAAGGAAGTTTATCTTACTGCCATTGGGCCGCAGAATAGAAGAGTGGAGGCAGACAGGCCCTAAAGAGATGGAAGAGTGCTAATGGAATCGGGGCCAGCTTGGTCACGGCCAGCGGAAAGGAATGTATTGGGCACAGCCTGTTTTCCCCTGCTTCTAGAAAGTGCCACCCTTGTTGCCTGCCTGGAGAGTCCTGAAACTCCTGTAGAAGAATGCTGGTGTCTGCTGCTGTTTCACCATGTCCTCAGTGCCTGATACACATAAACTTGGACACTGACTGTTTTATGAACACATCAAGGGGGCTTGGTGATCAACCTGTGTCATTTTTGGTATAGACCTGCGTGTCCAGAGCTCTTGATCAAACCACTGCCTTTGTCCCTGTCCAGCTTTCAGTTAGCTCATGAAAGTAAAACCTGCCCTGGGGGGGAGACCTATAAGGGATCTGAATATCATTCTGCCCTATTTCCAGAGGGGATGAGAATGGATGTCATAGAGGTTTAACAAAGACAAACAGAGGCATGTATACCAGTTCTTTGGGCCCTAGTCTGTACACCTTGGAAGCTATGATGAAAGCTTTCTACGCTCTTTTCAGAGAAGTTTGCATATATGCAGAGGCTGATTTATACTTTGGGGTGTTGCAAGCTCTCTGAGGGATGTCCTTTTACCTGATATTAACCTGGGATTAGAGGAAGAATGAACATCCAGTGAGAGCGATAATGGAGGGCCGGGGTTCTCAAAGTGTGGTGTTAGGAACTTGTTGAATACATACATTTTCGGGTCCTCCCTCAGAAAGTTGGGTTGGGACTCAGCTGTTTGTGTTTTAACACGCTTTCCAGATGATTCTGCTATATCCCAGGAAGACTTCTCCAGTTAAACTTAAATGCCTGTGTGGTGCTCGCTGTGCCTCACGCCTCCCATCCTGCCATCCTCTTGTTGTAGCAGTACTCTATTCCTCCTAGGCTATGTCCTGCCCAGCCACGTGACTGAGGAGATGCTGTGGGAGTGCAAGCAGCTCGGGGCTCACTCCCCTTCCACCCTGCTGACCACCCTCATGTTCTTTAACACCAAGTAAGTGTTCCAGAGGCTCCGTGCTTAGCCACTGCTGGCATCTGCCCAGTGAAGAGGGTAGAAACTATCCAGATGGACTTCTGAGATCCTTTGACATACTTGAGAGCCTTTGGGCTAGTGAAGCCCTCCACCCCACTTGGCTACATTTTTTGTGGCAACCAGTAAGGCAGACAGCCTTGCCAGGTCCCTCCCATCAGCCTTTATGAGACTCCTCCACTGGACAGTGTATTTGGGTGTGGGCCTGCCCAGATTCTGGGAGTGTGGGCAGCGGCCCCTCTGAAGCACTGATGGCGGAGGGTAAGTCATGGTCTCCTCCTGGCACCCCTCCCTTTGCCTTGCTTTCGCTTGTGGTGCAGATATTTCCTGTTGAAGACAGTGGACCAGCACATGAAGCTGGCCTTCTCCAAGGTCTTACGACAGACAAAGAAGAACCCCTCTAATCCCAAGGATAAAAGCACGAGTATTCGGTACCTGAAGGCACTTGGGATACACCAGACTGGCCAGAAAGGTAGGGAAGGAGGCAGGGGTTGCAGAAACAGGTGCTACTAGTTCTGCTCAGCCTTTGTGCCTGAGGGGCTAGTGAGGAGTGTGAAGATGGGGATTTGCCGGATAGGAATGCTCCCTTCCCTTCTCGCCAGCCACTGACTTCAAACTCTCCTAGAAGCAGAGCTGCCCCAGAAATGATAGTTGCCTTTTCCTTTCATATTCACCGCCCATGCCTCATACCCTTTTCCTTCCCAGTATTTCCTAGTTGGGATGGCTGAAAGGCTGAGGTTCCTAATCTGAGACTAAGTGAAGGCAGTCTGATGCCATGTCTGTGGTGGGGGGTATGTTTTATAGTTACAGATGACATGTATGCAGAGCAGACGGAAAATCCAGAGAACCCACTGAGATGCCCAATCAAGCTCTACGATTTCTACCTCTTTAAATGGTGAGGAGGTTGAGTGTGACTGGGGGTGTGGGTGTGGGTGTATGCATACGTGTGTGTATCTGCGTGTGTGTGCATCTGCTTGTGTGTGTATCTGTGTGTACGTGCGCGCACGCATGCTCACAGAAGCATTCTCAATTCCTAGGCTAAGTAAAAGCAGATTTCCGAAAGGCTAAATATAGAAGCACACTTACTGGTTTTCCCAAAGCATGTGCCCAGGGCTGCTCCCTGATGGTCCACTTTGGTGGAGAGGAGGTGAAGGTCAAGGGGTGAAGGTACAGAGAGGCCGTGTCTCTCACCTTGAGCATATAGCCCTGTGTTTTCCTTGTCTTGACCTTTGGTCACTATACCATAGGTGTAGGGGAGCTCCTCTCCTTGGCTTTTGCTGTCTTCTTGCTTCTGCAGTTGGGCGTATCATCCTCACAATACTGCCAGCAGATCTTTCAACATTGTAGGTCTTATGTTACTTAGATGAAAACCTTCAGTGGTTTTCTTTTATTCTACAAAGAAAAACAGTAATCCTAATTACTGCCCTAATTACCAGCAGGGCCTTTCATACATGCTCCCTTGCTAACCTCTTGTCCTCATAGCTCTTGGCTGTCTAGTCACACTGCTTTTCTCTACTGAAGGGTATCTTGCTCTCCCTTCCTCAAGACCTCTGCACAGAATTTTTCCCTGTTGGGCTCACCATGCCATCCCCTATCTGTTTGGTCAGTTAGCTCCTATTCATCCCATCCATTCTTCCTAAAAGAAGTTTATCAGAGAAGTATTTCCAGATTCCCTACCTGTTCCCTCTGGCTGTTTCTTCCCTAGCCATTACCACTGCTTGTTATTTTGTCTTTATGTAACTGTTCTGATTGCTGTCTGTCTCCCCTCTTACCCTCATTATATAGGGACTCTTGGGTCTTACTTACTTCTTTTAATATCAGCACCTAGTGCAGGCCTGGCACACAGTAGCCCTTTGATAAACTGAATCAGTGGATGAATAACTGTTAGAGGATGGCATATGCTAAGTACTTAAGAGAAGTACAGCACAACATTGGGAGTGGGAGTGAGTCCAGGTAGAGGCCGAAGCATCACAGCAAGCTGAGAAGTCAGATAGGTGAAGTTGAGAAATTATCAATGGATGGGGTAGAGAAAACAGCATAAGCAAAGACTTGGAGATAGATAGGTGGTGAAACTGGTTCAGTGTGGGATACGGCTGGGCCAAGTAACTGAGCCAAGGGAGGCCTAATCAGAGGACTCAGCGTGCGAGGTGGGGAGCAAAAAGTTGAGACATCTTAGAGGCAATGTGCCTTGGTTGCACAGAGCTTAGGAGTTCTGCCACCATTCTTTCCAGAACTTCCCATCTTTTGTAGATAGCATCTGTCCAGGCGGTTCAAGGTGGGAAGGTTGAGATTATGTCGCTTTTACCCAGCTTTTTACCCATATATTCTCCAGCCCCCAGAGTGTGAAAGGCCGGAATGACACGTTTTACCTGACGCCCGAGCCGGTGGTGGCCCCCAACAGCCCGATCTGGTACTCAGTCCAGCCTATCAGCAGAGAGCAGATGGGGCAGATGCTGACTCGGATCCTGGTGATACGAGAAATTCAGGAGGCCATTGCGGTGGCCAGCGCCAGCACCATGCACTGAGAGACCCCTCAGCCATGGTGCATGGGAGACCATCCAGGAAAAAAACGGACACAGTTTCACACTAAAGAAGAGGCCTCCATTTTTTTTCTTTTCTTTTTTTATTGGTGTAGTTATGAAGCCTTTCAGACTGCTTCTGTTTCAAATGTAAAAGGAAACTTTGCCCCCTTGTACATCTTCATAAACCTGCTGTGGGGACTCCTCAGCCCATAGGGGCTCAGGGTTTCCTGAGAGCCAGATGTCCTGTAAAGTTGCTGGCTGACTTTTTTTTGTGTGGGGCCTGAGGAAAGGGCTTGGACTGTTAGGAGAAATGTGGCCCCTTCCCTTCCTCCAGAAAGATGGAATTAATGATGGATGGACCCTCCAGGGAATCTCCCCAGCTGGCTTCCACTCTGACTGGCAGACTTCGCTGACCACGGGGGAGCCACGGTCTTTTCTTTCTTCATGCTCAGACACAAACCTAGCATCTTAATGGAAGGAAAATGAGGGGAACTTCAATTATGATTTATTAAAGACAATTTCTATTACACCCTCCTTTATGACAAGTGACATTTTAGATGTTAAAGTAAAAACTTTACCATGCCTTTCCCCCCCCCCCCCCCCACCCCGGCCTAACACTGAGGCCTTAAACCTGAGGCTTCTGTGCCTGATGGAATTCTTGTAACATACACTTGTGTATCATATAAAGATACCACTCTGTTTCTCTTATGTATTCTTAATCTAGTTGTTTATTAAGAATGACAAGCACGTCTTTTCAACATGCTAGTGAACAACGCCTCTTTATTTGGGAGGAGTCTGGCGGGACAGTGGAAGCCAAGCCTTGCCTGTTAATTGCTCAGGGCAAAGTCCTGCGGGAGGGGTTGCGACGGGAAACAGCCGAATTCCCCAGCGACTCGGTTAGGGCTTACTGTGCGCATGCGCGCCTCCGCCAGCCCCGCACTAGAGGCCAATGGGCTCCGCCTTTGCGTGCTGCGTCGTGACGTAAGCGACGCGCATGGCGCAGTGACGATATCGGCGAGTTTATATTCGCGCGGCCCAGAAAGCAGAGGCCTCTGCGGCGCCGTCCTCGGAGACACGCGGCTATCCCCCGCGCTAGCTATGGCCGACTACCTGATTAGCGGGGGCACGTCTTACGTGCCGGACGACGGGCTCACGGCACAGCAGCTGTTCAACTGCGGGGACGGCCTCACCTACAAGTGCGGGCCTCGCGGGCTCACTTGGGCCAGGAGAGGGGCGGCGCGCTTGGGTTGGGGGGCCGGGTGGGGCCTCCATTGAGCCAGCTTAGGTAGGGCGTGGGAGGCGGGTTCCAGATATTCGTCTCCGAGGTTTGGTTTGACAGGTCTGAAGCGGGCGGGATGGAGAAGGCATCTTGGTAGCGTCTCGGATTTCCAGCCTAGGAACTCCGTTCTCTGGGCACATGGAGTTGTCAGTTTGCCAGCGGTGCTAATGACAGCTGGTGGCAGAAAAGGTCCCCTGTCTCCATCTCTGTCTTGTTCTTTACCTCTGTCTTGCTTGTGATATTCGGTTTAGGTCATTGCCCTTTCTGCTCAAATGCCTTCAGAGATGATCTGTGAGGATGGCATCTCAGGCTGCCGTAAGCCTAACCCTTATTCCCAATTCCCCTCCCATAGTGACTTTCTCATTCTCCCCGGGTACATCGACTTCACAGCAGACCAAGTGGTGAGTATGGACAGGAACAGGATCCTGAGTGTCAGGGTTGGATAAGGTGCTGCTGTCTCCTCTCGGCTACCACAGTAGATTGTGTTTGGGGGTGGATGCCTATTAAGGGTTTTACTGGTATGCAGGTCATACAAAGCACCTGTTTTGTGGAGAACATGGTAACTGCCTTGAGGTCTATGAAGTGCTTTTGCACATTAGTCGGTTTTATTTCTTTAGGACCTGACCTCTGCTCTGACTAAAAAGATCACTCTGAAGACCCCACTGGTTTCCTCACCCATGGACACAGTCACAGAGGCTGGGATGGCCATAGCAATGGCGGTGAGCACAATGGTGTGAGGGCAGAAGCAGGGGCCACATCTGTCTTTCCCAGAGGCATACAGTCATGACAGTTTTGCCACTTTTTCTCTGTTTTCTTGCTATGTATCCTGCAGCTTACGGGTGGTATTGGCTTCATTCATCACAATTGTACACCAGAATTCCAGGCCAATGAAGTTCGGAAAGTGAAGGTCAGAAGGGCGAGGATCATGAGTTCCTGGGAATTTCACGGTGGTGGAGTGTGGTGGGGATGGGTGATTTATTCTCCTCACTTTTTTCTCACTGTGGGGGTTCATTTCCTGAGGAGGAGCCTGAGACTTCGTGTCTTACAGCTGCAGAAGAGGACCACGTGGACAGTGCCTACATTCCACTCATGTTTCCTAGCTCTGGGTTTGAAGTGCTTTTGTGATTGTGATCTGATCCTGTGGCACTGCCAAAGGGGGAGTTGGCACAGATCCCAGGCTTCAGACCAAGAGTTTGATGAAAATGGTTCAGAAGTACCTTTTTTCACCACCTCTTCCAGAAATATGAGCAGGGATTCATCACAGACCCTGTGGTCCTCAGTCCCAGGGATCGCGTGAGGGATGTCTTTGAAGCCAAGGCCCGGCATGGCTTCTGTGGTATCCCCATCACTGACACAGGCCGGATGGGAAGCCACCTGGTGGGCATCATCTCCTCAAGGGACATTGATTTTCTCAAGGAGGAAGAACATGAACGACTTTTGGGAGAGGTGGGTAACACCACATCCAAACCCTGACAGCCCAGGCTAAAGATTAGAAGGCTTCTACTCTGTTGCCCAAATGGCATCTCTGAGGGTGCTGGTGTTCAGGAAGTATGAATGCCCAAATTTCTGACCCTTTAATAGGACACCTGCATCCCTTCCCCACCAAAGGCTTTGAATCTGCCAAAATATTTGCAGGCATACCCCAGTTTTTTTGCCACTCCCAGAGGGGGCCAGTGCTCAAGGATCCTCTAGTCATTGCTTTGGTATGGCTCTTTTTTTTGGTAATGTGCTCTGTGTACCTGGTGTCATTTCTACTAAATTCTCACTCTTGCCAATAGATAGACTGTTGTGTTTACTTGAGGAGGGTAGGCTGGATGCAGGTGTCAAAACATGATGGTGTTTGGAACCTCACCCTTGAGTTAGGACAAGGTCTGTTGGGAGGCCTGATCTCTTATTGTCTCTCCTCACAACTCCCCTCTCTCATAGATCATGACAAAGAGGGAAGACTTGGTGGTAGCCCCTGCAGGCATCACATTGAAGGAAGCAAATGAAATTCTGCAGCGTAGCAAGAAGGGTGAGTCCTCAAGGTAGGAAGGGTTCAGGAACCAAAGACCAAGGTCCTGATTTATGTCTTGCCTACCCTCAGGGAAGTTACCCATTGTAAACGAAAATGATGAGCTGGTGGCCATCATTGCCCGGACAGACCTGAAGAAAAACCGAGACTACCCACTGGCCTCCAAAGATGCCAAGAAGCAGCTGCTGTGTGGAGCAGCCATTGGCACTCATGAGGATGACAAGTATCGGCTGGACTTGCTCTCCCAGGCTGGTGTTGACGTAGTGGTTTTGGTGAGCTGCGGCACAGGCAAGGTGGGGCGGTAGGAGCAGCTGCTGTACCAACAGTCTCACTGGGGCCACATTCCTGTCCCAGGACTCTTCCCAGGGAAACTCCATCTTCCAGATGAACATGATCAAGTACATCAAAGAGAAATACCCCAGTCTCCAAGTCATTGGAGGCAATGGTGAGACAAGAGAGGGCACTGAAGGATGTGGGGCAAGAGTTGGGGAGCTAGGTCCCATGTAGACCTTCACATGAGCCTTTCCCTGTTCCTCCCTACAGTGGTCACGGCTGCTCAGGCCAAGAACCTCATTGATGCTGGTGTAGATGCCCTGCGGGTGGGAATGGGCAGCGGCTCCATCTGCATCACTCAGGAAGGTAAGAAAATGCTTTGGCAAAGGCCTCAGAGACCAGGCTTTAGCAGGGCCCTTAGCCCCACATGCGCCAGAGCCAAGTGCTCTTTCAGGAGTTACACTGAGTTCTCCAGTAGGGGCAACCCTAGGGCCACACAGGCCCCTTGGATGGGTAAAACAGCAAGACGAGCTCTCGTCCTTCTTCACCTGCCACTTCCCCTGCCTGGCCTCCCCGCTCCTGCTCCGTGCCCTCTCTAAACTCTGGTCTGTTTGTTTTATTTAGCGGCTCCCAAGATCCCTCCAGACATAAAGTCCCACAGCCCCAAATGCCCTTCTACTGTCACGGGCTGCTATAGTAAGTCCGGCCCGGCCCACTGGCCGGCCCAGCTGCCCACTGCCCGGCTGCTTGGTTGACTGTAGCTGTAGCCTCCGGGGTTTGTGGTGCTGGCGGGTGGGCAGGGCAGACTGAATGACAGACCATGGTTTGGGAGCTGCTCGAGAACACAGCTCCCTCCTTTTCTGGGGTGTTTGTAGGGCAGGCCCTTCTCCAGGTAGGCCCGGCTCTGCCCCCATCTCCTGCAGTAGGCACAGCTTCAGGACCAACTCTGGGCTCCACTCTTCTTTCCACACAACCACTGCCCTGATTTTGCCTGAGCAGCCCACCATGCAGGGAGCAAGGGGCGGGTCTCTGGGTACTAACTGCACGGTGACCCCTACCCCATCTGATACCAATTGGGTGGGGCTTTCCTGGCTGCTGACTGCACGTGCCTGAGGCTGCCCTGGGCTATGCACACATGCACGCGCACACGCCAAGGGTGAGTGGAGGCCATCACAGCTGTTTGTACTGTTTAAGGCAGACGGGGCAGCAGCTATCCCAGACAAGACTCTTAGCAGGTGTAGCTGAGAGCTCCTGGATGCTGATTTGTGGCACCAGAGCCTCTTGCCTGTCCCCACTAACTCCAGCCCTCCATTTGTTCCTCCATGTCTCAACAGTGCTAGCCTGTGGGCGGCCCCAAGCAACAGCTGTTTACAAGGTGTCCGAATACGCGCGGCGTTTTGGTGTTCCTGTCATCGCTGACGGAGGAATCCAAAATGTGGGCCATATTGCCAAAGCTTTGGCCCTTGGAGCCTCCACAGGTGAGACCCAGCACTCAGGAAGCCTGGTGGGACTCCTTCCCTAATGCCATTCAGGGTCTTCCCCCATTACTGCTTCTGTCCATAGTTATGATGGGCTCCCTCCTGGCTGCTACCACTGAGGCCCCTGGCGAGTACTTCTTCTCTGATGGAATCCGGCTAAAGAAATACCGTGGTATGGGTTCTCTCGATGCCATGGACAAGCATCTCAGCAGCCAGAACCGATATTTCAGGTGGGACAGGCAGGTCAGTTACCCCATGCTAATCTTGTACCAGCATCATCATCCATGTTTTGACTTTGCCCATGTTTCCCTGCCTCTCCCTGCAGTGAAGCAGACAAAATCAAGGTGGCCCAGGGGGTGTCTGGGGCTGTTCAGGATAAAGGATCCATCCACAAATTTGTTCCCTACTTGATTGCTGGCATCCAGCACTCCTGCCAGGATATTGGTGCCAAGAGTCTGACCCAAGTCCGGTAAGCTTAGGGAGCTGGGACCTTGGGTAGAGGGGCTGGCCCAGGGCCAGCTGTCCACATCTGACATCTGCCCCTCTTCAGAGCCATGATGTATTCTGGGGAGCTCAAGTTTGAGAAGAGAACATCCTCAGCCCAGGTGGAAGGTGGTGTCCATAGCCTCCATTCGTAAGTGGCCAACCCTCTCTACTCCTCTGTCCTTGGGATAGAGGTCTCTCCCCTGCCTCCATCCTCCTGCCCTCATTTCACAGCTGGTTCTTCTGCCAACAGGTATGAGAAGCGTCTTTTCTGAAAAGGGATTATACAGCACACCCCGTCCATTTTTCAATAAAAATTTGAAAAAAAGTGATGCCTGATCTTTGAGGTCAACAGGTGGGGCTCTGCAGCTGCTGCTGTCACAGACACACAAACACACAACACTGCCCTTCCAGAGAAAGCCTCTGGCCTTGAGATAAGGATGCTCTAAGGACCTGGAAGTGGGGGTTGCTAACTAGATTCAAAAAGCTCCTCCTAGGGTAGCTCAAAAGGCAGTTCAGACCAGCTCTGGCACCGAAGAGTTTAGTCTCACACTGAGAACTGACTCTGGGCATTTACAGAGGGTTATGGAAAAGTCCATGGGGCTTTGGACTGGCATCCACAGGACCTCCTGCTAGCTCAAAGTTTGGCTACATGGGACCAGGTTTAGACCCACATACGTGTTCTCTGAACCTTCCCTGATGGCTCAGTTGGTAAAGAGTCTGCCTGCAATGTGGGAGACCCAGGTTCTATCCCTGGGTGGGGAAGATCCCCTAGAGAAGGAAATAACAACCCACTCCAGTATTCTTGCCTGGAGAATTCCATGAACAGAGCCTGGTGGGTTGCAGTCCATGGGGTCACAAAGAGTTGGACACACTGAGTGACTAACACTTTCGCTTTTCATGTATTCTCTAATGTAAATCTCTAAGGGACATTGTGGAGGAAGCACAGTGTTCCCCTCAAATCTGTATGTGAGCAAGGAGACAGACCTACAGTTTAGAACAGGTGCCCTTATTGTCCCCTGGCCTCTCAAGAGGCCAAGCCATGACCCCCTGGTTCGTTCACAACCCCTTCCAAGAACCCATTGAGCCAACAGCTCCTGGCCAGCAACATACCTAGTACAAAATCAGACAAGTGGCTTAAATTATTAATTTGCTGGCAAGCAAAACAAGTCTTACAGTGCCAAAGGGTAAGGGCTAGTGAAAGCTTTGGGCACCCCTGCATTCTGCAGAAGGTGACAAGGCCCTCCTGGACAAGTCAGGTTAAGTTCTGGTGGTTCATTCTGCAGCTTGAGCCTGAGATGTGAGTGCAGTCCCTCCAGGTGGGGGAATGAGAGCAGCTCCTGTCACTCGGCCTTCATGACAGAGGAAGTTGAAAGTGGCACAGGCATTGGGCTGCAAAGAGAAAGCTAGCGTCAGCCGGGCCAGGGCTCAGCCTGGGCTCCCCTCCCCGGTCCCGTCCCGGACATACTGTGTCCTGCACCTCCACAGCGATGCCCCTCTGCCTCATGGCTCGCAGCACGTGGGGCTGCAACCGCTCAGTCCGGTCTCCAGTGCCCACCACAACAATCTCTAGGAAAGGAAGGGCAGGGCTAGTCTACAACCAGCTCGGTCGAGAGGGTGCCCTTTTGGGGCTCAGAACTTCAGCCCTCCCCTCCTCCAATACCTATCCGGGGCTCCAGCATCCAAAAGAGAGAGAAGCTTTCCTCGGTGATGTCCTGATAGGAACCTACCTGTGTGGGGAGGCGGCAAGTTAAATATAAGCCCACGTAGGTTTTCCCACAGACCCTCTACCTGCTCCAGAGCGGGATGAAAGAAAAGCCAGGTTTGCTAGGCACAGGCAGGCCCGTGACTCCGGCTCTCGGTTTCCTCACTGTAGGGAAGCGCTCACGTTCCACTGCACCACCGACTGCGGGAGGAGCGCGCAAGGTCCAAACACGCGATTCCCGTTGACCACGAAGCCGCGGCTGCTGTAGCTGTCGATGTACATGGCGAGCGGGGACTCGCGCTGCAGCAGTGAGATGCGCGTCCGTTGATACAGCTCGTCATCCGCCGGCGTGAGCCGATGCCCCCGCTGCGGGGCCCTGCGGAGAAGTACTGTCAGGGGGCCGGGGATGGCCGGCCGTGGGGCAGGTGGTCAGGGACACCGCATCCGGGCTCACCATGGTAGCTCCGCGGGCGGACAGCGAAGCGCGGGTCGCCCGCGGTACAGGTTCCGAAGCACAAACGCTGCGGTCATGGCGGACCGGCGGGCAGGGAGGCTGGCGCAGGGTCAACGGGGTCGTGGCGTCCCCCAGCCCAGCGCGGTTGCAGCGCCCCCAGCGTCGCGGAGGACACCGCGCGGCTCGGCCGGCCCAGCGCGGGAGAAGGCAGGGAGCGGGCCAGGGGCCTCGATCCCAGGAGGCCCCGTCCCCCAGAGCGGCTCCGGTGTCAGCACCTGCCGTCCGCCCCGCCCCGGGCGCCCGCAGGCCGCCCTGGGGGAGCCGGACACCTGGAGGCGGGGCCGGCCGCAGGGCACTGCCTGGTCCCCAGCTCTCAGCCATTACGCAGGGCTCCCAGGGCCGGGGGAGGGCGGCCGAACACCTGTTGGAGTCGCGCACACCTGGCCTGGGCGTGGCTCCCGCCCGCAACCCCCAGCCTCTAATCCCAGCTTTAGAGCTTCGGGTTCCGAGGGCCGGGAGGGCAGCTCAGGTTTCCGTCGCTCGCCCCCCTAGTCCCGCCCCACCCTAACCGTCACCCGCGCGACCGTTGGCGTCGCGGCCGCGAGTCGCACGGGGCGTGGCTGAGCCTGGATTGGCTTCTCCGGAGCCCGAAGGGGCGTGGCTGGGGGTTTCGCCTTAAAATGGCTCCAACTCTGCGGCCGGAGTAAGCGGAAGGGGACGCGTTGGTCGGGAACTTCAAGGGGCTCTTCGCGACTAGCGGGTCAAACCGGACCAGACGGTGAAGCAGACAGCGGCTGGAGCCTCGCCCTGTTGTCGCGCACTTCGCTCGCGCTCCGAGAATCCCGTGCCCCACGTCTTGAGCCGAATCAGAAGGCCTACTGGCGTGAGAATCGCTGGCGCCCGCGCAGGTTCCGGCATCTCCGCGCGCCCACCGTGTGTTGGTCTCAGGGGCACGTTGCTGCGTCTCCTACCCGCTGGGCCGGGCTGGCGGGAAGCTCGACACAACCGAGGATGGTCGCAATGGGTTTCCGGGAGTCCCGTCGCTGCAGTGCGGACCCACGGGGCCTCTAGCGCTCCGGGTACTGGCAGCGTCACCGGACAAAGGGCCCTGGGTGCGGGGGAGTCCCCAAGGAGGGTTTACTTCCTCTCCGACCCCACGGGCGCGCTTCCCTCTTGGCTGATCCCGAAGCCCGCCCCACCGCCGTCACTACAGTGGCCCTGACTGCATGGGACCAACAGGGCTAATTCTACCCTGCGGATCTAATCCGAATCGAGACCTGGTCCCAGGGAAGGACCCCCCCCCCCACACACACACACCTGTTTGGGGGCCTAGGTGAGCGGCTTTTTCCCATTCGTCTTGGTTTCACCGTCTACTCCTGGGTCCGCCTCCTGGGATAGGAAATGGGGGGGGGGTGGGGGTGGATTTCCCTAAGGAGAAGGATAATCCTCTCAAACCGCCCTCCCCGCCCCGCCATGGCTGGACAGCGGGCAACGGAATCCCAAAAGCAGCTGTTGTCTCCAGAGCATTCCAGCTGCGCTTGGATTTCGTTCCCTGCTCTCCTGCCTGAGCAGCGTCCCGACCCAGGTGGGATGGGCTAGTCCCTGACCCCCAGACATACTTTATTGGGTCGCTCTGGTTTCCGTCTCTTTCTCAGGTGTGCCTTCAAGCTGGAAGTGACAGGCGTAGACGTCAGAGAGCCGAGGCGGTGGCCACCTTTGGAGCCCGAGATAGCACTGGCGAGGGAGGGAGGACCCAGGGCCTCCGGATAGGGCTGCAATGGCGGTGAGTCCCACAGGGCCACCTCAGCCCGCAGCTCGCTAAAGATAGCCCTTCACTTCCTGGGGTAAAACCACCGCCAACCGTCTTAATGTATTTAGAGTAGCTGAAGTCCCCATCTTGGCCTCCAGACCCCCAATCCTGTTAGCAGCCATCCCCTGGTCGTGCTCGTGAGGCCTGGAAAGCGCTTTGGAATGACACGATCACTCCCGTTGAGTGGGCACCCAAGAAGCCATCGGGAATGTCGTGTCCGCCCAGTGCTCTTTCGGAGCTTCCCAGCGGGGCCTTGCAGCCCTAGCCCAGAAGGGGGTCTTGCCAAGCTTTTCCTGCCCCTCGGTTCCTCTACATCCTGAGCTGTTTACTCACTGCTCCGGGGCAGAGACCAGGGGGCTGGGTGTCAGTGCTCTGCGGCACAGTGTTCTAGTGCCTCACGTCCCATCCCTATTAAAAGAGAGAAAAAGGGTTAAGTGAAGACATTGAGAAGCCCTGAACGGAAGGAGGAAAGAGGTAGGAGTTGGACGCTCAGAAAACTGTTCTTAAGGTGGGTCTTCTCAGGTCACATTGTTTATTTGACCCGCAATGGCTCATAGTCTAAACCAGGAAATGGGAGGGTCCTTGTGACAGTACAACAGGTTAAAGGAGACGCATTAAAAGCTTCTGGAAACTATTATGATGGTTCTAATTATTCAAGATTCAAGAGAAGAAAAACAGCAATTCTCTCAGAGTGGACACATTAGGAGTAAAAGACAACCCCTATCTCAAAGGAAGGAATGCTTGCAAATAACCTGAAACTGAAGAACACAAATTCCCTTTAAAAATGTGACTTTTTTTCAATAGCTCATGAAAGTGTCTTTTATGCTACCTGCCCTATTTCAGAATCCACTTCTAACTCTAGGCGTTTTGATCATGTGTGCTTAGTCACTAGTCGTGTCCAACTCTTTGTGACCCCATGGACTGTGGCCCGCCAGCTGGTGGTCCATGGGGATTCTCCAGGCAAGAAAACGAGTGGGTTGCTATTTCCTTCTCCATTGATCATGTGTACATGGAGGAAATGAAACGTTATACAAATACATAAATGTAAGAGAGACAACCCTGCCTGGGCCCCACCGGATTGCGTGGGTTCTTTCCCTTGTTGCTACTGCGGGCAACAGCGAGAGAGCCCAAAGTCCGGAGTAGACCCCAAGATTTCTTACCCTAGTCCGGACCAGTCAGGTGGACCACGCGGGGGTAGGGCTGGGGCCATGGAGCGAGCGCAACTGTTCACTGTCCACTCAGGAGTCCCTGCCTCCTCGCCCCAACCAATTGGCCTTCCCGGAAATCCCGCCTCGAAGTTTTGCTTCCGGTCCCGCCTGCCCCTTCCGGTAGCCATGCGCATCGGGGTAGAGGAGACGCTGGGAGCCCTGAACTCGGCCTTGGGGGCTGGCGGCCCCGTGTGGTTCAAGGAGACGCACGCCCGCCACCTGCGTGCCCGAGACTTCTTGGCACCGCGTCGCGCACTGCAGGCGCGCTTTGGGGACGACCAGGTAGGCTCGCGCATGGCGGGGACGTGGGCGGGAGACAGGTGGGAGCGCAGCGGCCCGCTCACCTGCCTGGCTTCCCGCAGGTGCCCGAGGGCGTGGTTCACGCCCTCGTTGGCCTACAGGGTCCCGGCGTGGCCCCGGTGCAGCGTTGCGCGCCGACCCCCGCGGGGCTGGCGCTTCAGCTGCAGCGGTCCGCGGTTTTCGAGCGCGTGCTCTGTTCCGTGGCCGCCTATATCGAGCCCGCCGCCCTCACCGCCCCTACCCCGCGCGTCGTTCTGCACTGCCCGGCGCTGCGCGGCAGCCCTAGCGCCCTCCGCCTGAGCCAGCTCCGTGCCGTGCTCGTGGCGGACCACCTGGCGCGAGTTCTGCAAGCTCACAGGTGAGTGAGGGCGGGCCCAGAACGAAGGTGCGCGATGGCTTCCGGCGGGGGCGAGCTGTGCCGCTGCGAGTGGGAAGTCGGAGCGAGCTGAGCCAGGTGCTCAGGCTGAGGCGGCCGCCTCGCTTCGCAGGGTGAGTGTGCGCCGAGTCCCCGCTGTGCGGGACCCGCACATGCCGACCTTCCTGCAGCAACTGCGGGTGGACTGGCCCGCGGTCTCAGAGAAAGCCACGACGGAAGCCCTGAGGAATCGCACGATTGCAGAGCTCTCCCCTGCCCGTGATGCTGGAGCCCTGCCCCCTGACACCCTTGGTCGAGTGTGCCTGAAGGAACTGATGGAGGAACGGGGACGAATAGCTGGCTATGACCCCAGTGTGGACAGCTGTCTGGGTAGGTAGATCCTAGCGGGGCCGGAATAGGGACGCCGCCCCCCCCCACCACCACCCCCGCACTCTCCGGCCAGCCTCAGCCGTGTGTTCTCTTCCCAGTGTCAGAGGATCTGCTCTCTCTGCTGGCCGAGCTGCAGGAGGCTGTGCAGGCTGGGGCCGAGGACAGCTCCCTAGGCCTGGTTAGTGACTGCCCCACCCTGGTATGCTTCTGGCAAACCAGATGTATTATCTCCTTGACAGTGACTGTCCTGCCCTATAGGCTGCGGCCCCAGATGCTGGTGCAGGTAGCTACATGGTCCTACACGTAGTGAGCTGTGAGGAGGAGTTCCAGCAACAAAAGTTGGACCTGCTTTGGTGGAAGTTGGATCATCAGGCTCCTCTCAGACAGGTGATGGTAACCTCACTGCAACCTGAGAGGATTCCTTGAAACCCACTTGTTAGCTGATGGGTCCAGAAGGTGACACCTGACCTTGAGGGGGACCTCAGGCATATGCAGCAGGTGCCAGGACAGGGCCCTAGACTTGAGACAGCGGTCTTAAGGGCAGAAGCTGGGGGAGTCCAGGAACACAGTGAGGTTCTTGGAGGGTATCATCTGTGGCTGACCCCTGCTGTCTTCCTGACAGAAGCACCTGGTCTGTGGCCCAGTGAAAGCAGCTGGTGCGCCCAGCACCCTGACTGCCCCCGAGTACTACGAGTGAGTGAGGCTGGAAGGCAGGCCAGCACGCCAGGGCAGTGGGGTGGGGGGACTCTGTCCACCATCCCCCTCTCATTCTCTTCTCGATGCAGGCTCCGGCACGCCCAGGTGTGCAAGGCGTCAGCAGTGAAGCATGGCAGGGACCTGGAACAAGGTGCGCCTGGGAGCCCCTGCTTGTGCTTCTGGTAGGGGGGGTCATTTGCACACATGCCCCTTGGCCTCTGCCTGCAGAGACTGACTGATCGTACTCTCTCAGACCCAGCCTGGACGGAAATCTTCAGCGTTCTCTCTGTGGCGACCATTAAATTTGAGATGCTCAGCACAGCCCCCCAGAGTCAGGTGAACCTGGGAATCTTGCTGGACCAGGGCTGGGGGTTGGAGCTGGGGGACAGAGTGTGCGGCGGTGGTCCTCCTGTGCAGCTGTGCCTTTATTCCTCAGCTTCTCCTGGCCCTGGCTGACAGCAGCATTTCCACCAAGGGCAGCAAAAGTGGCACCTTTGTCATGTATAATTGTGCACGTCTCGCCACCCTCTTTGAGGGTTACAAGTGCAGCGTGGAACAAGGTCTGTACCCCACCTTCCCGCCTGTGAGCAGTCTAGACTTCTCCCTGCTGCGTGAGGAGGTAAGTGCCCATCCTGGGTAGCTGACATGTGTGGGAAGCTTGGGCCTTTCCCTCGCAGCGCCCTTCTCCCCCACAGGGTGAGTGGTTGCTACTCTTCAACAGCATCCTCCCCTTCCCAGACCTGCTGAGGCAGACAGCAGCCCTGACCCAGACCTGCGCTGCCCCAGGGCTTCAGGCCACTGCGCGCACAGAGATGGTGAGGACGGAAGGGCAGGACACAACGCACACACTACTCTTTATTCTGATCTGGGGTACAGAAGGAGGGGTGGGCTAGTGACTCAGTTTGGTCTCTGTCTCTAGGTATGCAAGTTCCTGGTACAGCTCAGCATGGACTTTAGCTCATACTATAACCGGGTACACATCCTAGGGGTAAGTGCATGGCAGAAGGGCAGGTGGGGGCGGGAGGTACCGGGAAAGCAAAGGATGAGACCAGCCGCCTCCTCTCCTCCAGGAGCCGCAGCCGCACTTGTTCGGTCAGATGTTTGCCCGTCTGCAGCTTCTGCGGGCCGTGCGAGAAGTGCTCCATACTGGGCTGGCCATGCTGGGTCTCCCTCCGCTGAGTCACATTTAAGGCCGCAGAGGCCTTAGGATCCAGGAATGTCCACAAAGTTAGCAAACTGAAAGGGGGAAAAAAAAAATCTGGATTTGTTTTAGCGATCTAGAGGCAAAATAAATAGTTTGTGTGACAAGGTGTCCCGCAGTAGGGGGCGGGGCGTACCCTTGGCCTATCCAGGTGGCACCCTACTCACCTTCAGTGCCTGCTCTGGAGTCAGGGACCCGCGGCTGCCTCTTCCTCCCCTCTGGGCACGCCAGGCATGGGCACAGACAATCACTCTGCGAGCAGGCCCCAGGCCCAGCGTGCCGGCCACCGCGGGATGGCTTAGTCGTACCAGTTGTAGACCTCAAGGCCCTGGCCCCCCAGAGCACAACGGTGGCCAAACTCTGGGCTCACGGGCCAGCAGTCCATGTCAGCCACATCTGCGACGTGGTACACCGTGCTGTTCATAAAGGTGGGTTCACCGTGCCCCAGACGCCAGAAGGTCAGCCGCTGGTCGATGGAGGCCGAGACCATGAGGCTGGGGCTTAAGATCTTGAGGCCGGTCACGTGGGCAGCATGCGCACAGGGGACGGAGTACTCCTCCAGCACTTGCAGCTGGGGCAGCAGATCGGCACCCCCTACAGCCTCCTCCAGCTCGGGCATCTCCACAGCAAGCACGAAGACGTGGAGGGAGCCGTCTTCACTGCCACTGGCCACGAGGTGGCCCTCACGGGTGGGCAGGGTGTGCAGGCTGTTGACGCCACAGCTGTGAGGCTGCAGAGTCAGGCAGGGGCTGCCCAGCTCTGGAGGAAGAGGACAGTGGTCAGGACCCAGCCTGACAGCTGCATGCGTGCAGGGGGCAGGGGGACAGCCACAGTGGCAGTGTAGCTACTCACGGAAGGGCAGCCCAGGGTCCGCTGCAGCCTCCAGGGCAGGGGAGCCTTGGTCCAGCAGGGTGGTGAGGTCCCAGAACGCCAAGCTGCCGTCGGTGGCTGCGCTGCACAGGAACAGCCTTCTGGAAACCAGAGTCAGCTGGGTGAGGGGGATGGAAGGCAACAGGAGCCCCCCAGCCCAGGTGGGACCGCTGCGCAGGCCCTCTCACCGCCGCTGACTAGGTGCCTCGTGTGTGAAGGCGTGCACCTTGAGGACACAGCGCTTGTGGTGGAAGGTTTCAGCCAGCAGCTGCAGTCGGTGCCCAGAGTCCTGCAAGAGAAAGATCCTGGGGGGCGGGGGGTAGTCCAGCTCAGAACCCACTCTGAACATCTGTACATCCTTTCCTTTGCCTCCAGGCTCCTTGGGTCCTGTACACTAAGAAGCCCCAGCCCCTGAGCCACAGACCAGTATTGGTTTGTGACCTGTTAGGAACCAGACCAGGAAGCAGAAGGTGAACAGCAGGCAAAACCAGAACTCTCTCATCCCCATCCACCGCGGACAAATGAACTGGCCCTCGTGCCAGAAAGGTTGGGGACCAGTGCTTTACACTCACCTCACTGCCCCGTCACTGCAGGCGGCAGCCACAAGCGGGCCAAGGCCAGGCCGGTCTAGCTCACACACAGCTAGGGACATGTACCTGCAGGAACAACAGACAGACGTCACTCGGAGCCTGGCCGCAGCGGCGCAGGGCAGCCCTCGCACGCCCACCCCTCCTGTCTGGCTGAGCGCCTCACCTGGTCTCCGGGTCCACCTTGACCATCCGGTGCCGGTGGCGCTGCCGGTCCCAGTACTCGTCTAGCCGGTGGGATGAAAGGTGCATGACATGGCAGGCAAGACGGCTTGGGGGGCTGGGGTCTGGGGTGACCATGATTGTGAAGCAGTGCATCTCAGCCCTGCCCCCCGCAGACACCACATGGGCGGTCAGGCCTGGCTGAGGATCCTGAGGGCCACCCGGGGTGCCAACACCCCACACAGCCACTGCACGCACCGAGGAGATGTGGTTACAGACCGCTGTAAGCGCGTGGGCTGAGCCCGTGGCTGTGGGGAGCGCCAGGACACAGACGGTGGTGTCCTCGCTGCACGTGATCACGATGTCTATCAGGCCAGGACCCTCACTGCCGGGCTCAACAGGCTCGCCAGGCTCCGGGTAGTCAGGCTGCAAGAAGCTGGGCACCCCAGACTCAGGCCTCAGGGTGATGGTGCCCACACGCTTTACACAGGTGATCTCCCGGCCATGCAGGCTCTCCCGGAGAATCACATGTGGCCGCGTGCAGCCACCCAGAGCCCGGTAGAGCATCACGTCGCCATCCTTGAGGTAGGCGAAGGCCATTGCTGCCTCGGTGTCGGAGAAGGCCCAGGAGCGGTGCCCTCCGCCACAATTGATGATGTGCAGCTTCTCATGGGACCGGGGGCTCCATACCACGAACTCATTGGCGTGGAAACCCAGGATGACCATGCTCCCGTCGGCCACCATACGGACCCCAGCCACCCAGTTCATACCCCGACAGGGCTTTTGCCTTAGCACTGGCTGGAGCTGCCCGCCTCGCACAAAGAGCTGGTAGTAGGAGCCATCGCGCCCTGTGGTGTACACGTAGCCACTGTGGCAGGTGACCGAGGTCACACCCTGTTTCCCGTGCAGAGAAGGGAGGGTGGACACAGGGCCCCACTCAGCCAAGGAGGGCTCCCCCTCACCACTGCCTGCTCCGGGCGCTGAGGTAATCGCCCCAACCTTGCCCCCTACCCCAAGATCCTTGAGCAGATCTGGTCGGGAGGGGTAGAGCAACACGGAGCCCCGGCGGTCCCCACACACCAGGAAGTCGCCCGGGGGGAGGAAGGCACTGCACGTGTGCCACCTCTGCTTGCTGGGAGGCAGGAGGTAGCGGCAACGCTCCTTGACAAAGATGGCCTTGCCAGAGGGCGCCGCAGAGATCTCCAGGCAAGCCACCACGCCGCTGGGGCCCGATGCCAGCAACAGAAGCTCCTCGTAGCCTCGCAAGGCCCAGCTCAGGCTGTGCACCTTCCCTGGGAACAGGGTCAGGTCCACAGCTGCAGTCGGAGTGTTGATGGGGACGACCTTGACGCGCCCTTCCCCGTTGGCCAGGGCACACAGTCCGAAGCCCTCAGGCCCCGGGGCTGCCTCCAGGAGGCAGTAGGACTGGAAGCGCTTGTCTTCCAGCAGCTGCTCCCAGCACTTGACCTCGAGGTCATAGAGGTACAGGGCCCCTGCATCAGTCACGGCCAGTACTCTCCACGAGCCAGCCAGCGTCACGGCCTTGAGGACACCTGGCCTGCTGCAGGACTTGAAGGAGAGCGAAGAGACCCCCGAACCCGGGTGCCCACGCCCCACCAGGTGCCACAGCCTGATGCCTGAGTCATCACCCCCAGTGATCACCCAGGCCTGCCTCTCGTGGGCTGCAAGGGCTCGGATCCCACGGCCCTGGTGGCCCCGAAAAGCCTGGAGGATTTCGCCTTCATGGCTCCACACCAAGCAGACACAGTCTTCTCCTGCACTGATAAGGTAATTCTCAAGGAGCTTGACCTGCCAGACACGGGCACTGTGCCCAAAGCAGTGCCCAATATTCTGCACCCGGCCCCCAGGAACCCGCAGGTCACCCACCTTCCAGATGCGAACGCTTCGATCCTCGGAAGCTGTGGCCAGTAAGCCCTTGCTTTCTAAGTAAGACATGCTAAAGATGACCCCCACGTGCCCACTGACCCGTCGGTCAGGGGCTACGGGCTTATCGTCTTTTAGAGCAGCTGCTGGGTACCAGACCAGGAGCTGGTTGGAAACAGCGCCAGCCACTACGGTCAGCTCCTTCCACGTGTCTCCGATCAGACAGGCCGAGGAGAGGGTGCACCTGTCCGTGCAGGGCACGTCCTGCAGGCTGCACCCTACCACAGGGTCATACAGCACCACCGAGTTGTGGCCCAGGGCCAAGGCAATGTTCCCCTCGAGCCAACGGGCATCCCAGATCCAGTCAGACATGTTCCACAGGCCAGAGCGCCACAGCTCCCGGAAGCGGCCCTGTCCCCAGCTTATTTTCACAACTCGGAGGCCCTTGCTGCCAAACGCCGCCACCATGACCTCCGAGTCAAGGTCTCCGTTGGGTTCTGGTCGCACTCGGAACCCATGGATAAGATAGTGGCCAAGCAGGTTCTGCACTCGCTTCATCATCCGCAGATGTCCACCGAAATCCAAGGTGTATACCAGGACATCTGGCCCCTCACCTGGAGAGAGGTGAAGAGCCACATCAGAACCCCTCCTCTAATTCTCATGGGCCAAGAGGAGACAGGGAGCAAGGGAACTGCTCACCAGGTAGCTTATGAATGTGTTAGGTCACTCAATCCTGCAGGCTTGAGCTTGCTCTCAGCTTCAGCTGTATTCTCAGTGCTCTCTGAGCCCCTTGTCAGTTACCCAGATACTCAGCTCAACCATGAATTCGTCAAACTCCCATCTCCTCCTTATCCCACCAAATTTCTCATGCTTCAGACAGGAATCCTCAGCTTTAGTCCCCAGATCTTTGGCCTCACTGACCTTCTTGACACTAACTCCTCCCCCAGGGAACAGGCACAACTGATAAGTCAAGCATTCCACCTCCGGCCACAGCAGAACCCCTCCTGATTTCCAGGAGCTTCTCTGTATCTCAGAAGATGTGAGCATGTTCAGTCTCAGTGAGGAGAAGCAGCCCGCACTTTGCTTCCAAGCTCACACTCCTGTGAGCTTCAGCTGCCACCTGGCTGCCCTGCAGGCACATCCATCTACTAGCTCATCCTCAAGTTCACTCCGTGCTCCTCACCCCAATGACCTAATATTACTGTCCTCTGCCTAACCCCAACCCCAAACTGGGAAGCCCATTCCTCTTAACTGCCCACCTCTTATCTCCAAGTTCTGGAGAATGCACTTTCTAAAGAGCTTGCAAATCCAATCGACCACAGTGACTTCAGTCCAGGACATCACCTCTTAACTAGAGATGACAGTAGCAATCCCTCATGCTATTCCCAGCCTGCAATTCCAACCTTTTGACATTCAGTAAACACTTATTTGAGAGTTTCCTGGCAGTCCAGTGGTTAGGACTTGGAGCTTTCACTGCTGGGGCCTG